TGATCTAGTATACAGTCATTATGCGAAAAAGGGGTCTTTCTTATCCTTCCTCGAGTATATTCATTTATATGATAATTCTCTATTAATTTTTGAGATTTTCTTCTTCATAACATTTTCTATTAAATCAGTTATGTTGTTTGAATTAGTATTACAACGATCATCATTATTTTCCAGACTTTAAACAGTGTAATTGCCAGGTTTATGATTTTCATCAAAGGTGACATTCCTTGAAACGATTATCTCATTTGTTAACGGATTCCATAGCCTGTAGCCTGTGGTGCTTTATCCTACCATCAAATATTTGAGACTTTTTACATGGAGTTGTACTCTGAGATTAGAGGGTAAGCAGGAGATTCAAAAACTCTTGTCTTTCGAACATTTGGTTTTATGGAAAACCACATTTCCGCCTGGGCTTTGTCCTTTTGAGAATGGTTTGATTTATTTACAGATCAATTCATAATGTAAGCAGCAGTCCGAAGAGCTTCTCCCCAAAGGGTTGTAGGTACATTATTGTCAGTTCTTGCTTTATCTAGTAGTGATCTATTGAACCTCTCCTTTTGTTGAAGGTTATTAAGGTACACTTAATCCCATTTGAACTGCTAAGTTCTTGAATTCATTTGACGTATTCCTCTCCATTCTCTGTACATAATCATGATATTCTGCACTGGAATTGTACTTCCACTTCAGCTTCATATCGTTGAAAGCATGAAAATACCTCACTTTTGTTTCTGGCTTCAAAGATCCCTATGCATCAGATTGAATAAGTTCTAAGCGTTTACTTGATCTTAGTTCATCAACCAACAGTTGGATAAGGTAAACGAGACAATTTTCCTTGTACACAAGGTTCACAAAATTGAAAATCTTGTTTCTTCAAACTTGCGATTCTTTCCAAAAATTGTCTGTCTGACATCTGTTTCAGAAGGTATTTATGTGCATGTCCATATCTTACATGTCATAATAATAAATCTGACAGGTTGATAATGTTTACGATGCTCGCTAAAACAGGATTCCTAGGTGTGAACGGCAGGTCGATTTAAAATAATATCCATGGCGGTGAGCTTCCAAGCACAATTTGTTATTTTTTGAGATAACAGCTATTCCTTGACTAAAGGTCACTGTAAAACCTTTTCTTTCAAGTTTTGATACTCTCATAAGATTAAATTTCAAGTTCGGTACAAAAAACACCTTGTAAAAATCAATAACAGAATCGTTCAAGGTTACTTTGATATTTGCGGACTTCGTAGCAGTTATTGTTTGATTGTTCTATTGACACTTCCAAGAGTTCCAAGTTTGTAAAGTAGCGTTCAATTTTAACCATATGCTCTGTTGCGCCTGAGTCTAATAGCCACTTTATATTGTCATTCTTTTGCACAGTACTAAGGTGAGTTACATTTCCTCCAAAGAAAGCAATTTCAGTTTCCTCTTGGTTTGTAGTTCCTCCAGAGTTAGCGAACTGGTGAAAATGATTATGGCTTGTATCCCCACGTTCACATATGTAGCCTTTGTAGCCCTTGATTTACTACGAAATTCATCCCGTTTGTGACGAATTTTTCTATAGCTGTGACATTTGTAAGGTATGTTTTGCTTTCGTGTTCCAAATGCTAAAGATTGATTGTGGTATCTTTGCACAACATTCTTCCGTTAATTATGCTCATCCAATAAATCTGTCTTGACAAAGTCTAATATCAATTTGATATATAGTCTTCAGTGTATCAACGACTGTTTCAAATGATTTGAGTAAGATCAACAATGAATGGCAAACACAATCACCTAACTCTTTGAGTTCCCTGGTGATTGAATCAAAATTCGATAAAAACTGGTTCATATCATCAAATTCATTGTACTTCATTGTTAGCATTTTTTGCGGATAAATAAAATATAGTTTTTCTATAAAAAACATACTTCAATGAATCAAAAAGATTTCCTTTGCAGTGGTCTGATCTTTAATGTATTCCAGTTGTTTATCAGCAATGTGGTTGACTCCAATCTGAATATCCAGCTGTTTGTACTATTGAACAAACACAAAAAAAATTCCCTCTATTTTGAAAAAATTCCAGTGACAACTCCCAGCTAATTGTTCCCCTAATATGTTTAAAATGCATTTTCCAGACATTTGGTTATGTATTCTGGGCCCATAACCTGTTATTAGCTGTTGATAAAATGGAGTCTCCTAATAGTTATTTAATACTTTTAAAATGTGAAATACATAAACTATATCATAAACGCCATCATTATAACTTAGAACAGGAGACAGTGTTGCCAAAATGCTATGCTGACAAATAGAAGTCGAAGATAAAATAAATTACGTTAAACAACTGCTGCTTTTTCAAGCAAAAAAACTGATAGAGATTACTGAATTGCGAAAGGAAGCAGCGAACTGCAACATATAAACTGTAACTTATCGAGTCCAAAGAAAACGTACGAAAATTAAATTCGAACACGATTTTGCAGTAATTTCTCACATAAAAACATAACTTACCCACAAAACTCACGTCAGAAATCGGGCGACTTTTCTGTTTTAATTGCAAAGTTACACATTCAGATACTTAATAGTCTGTATGGTTTACAAAAGATGGGTTTGATGACTGCAATAATAAACAATACTTGAAACGAATCAATGCAGTAATAAAGTTTTCAGCAGAACGAAGTCTTGCGTTTAGGGGTAGTAATGAAATTGTTGGCTCAAAAAAGGGATTACTTAGGTTTATTAAAATGAATTGTCAAATTCGACATTTTCATGGCTCAACATATTCACAGTCATGCCGTTAAAGGCATGACGTTTATCTAAAACAAGGTGCGGAAAATCAAGCTTGTTGCATGAAATTATTTGCGAAATTAAGACATGCAAATACTATTCAGTATCATTGGATTCTACTCCAGATATATCACATGTAGACCAACTGATTCTAATAGTGCGCTATGTTCTGTCACCTGGATCAGTTGAAAAATCTGTTAAGTTATTAGATATGGAAGGCCATACTGGTGAATAATTCGCCCAAAATCTACTGGGTTTTTTAAGTAAAAATGACATCCATATCAAAAATTGTCATGAACAAAGCTACGATAATGCAAGCAACATGAGTGGAAAATACAGCGGCTTACAAGCACAAATCAAGAAAATAGATCAGTATGCAGATTACGTTTCCTGTTTTGCACATTCATTAAATTTTTCAATTCAGTTTTCAATAGTGAGTTTTCAATCAAAATCATTTTAAATTGTCAGGACTATCCTATATATGGTTTTGTGTACTTGCTAGCCCCCAACAGGGTTTATACTGAGCTACTTTAAATACCGACAAAATTGTAATCTATGAATGAGTAAACATATTTAATATGGAGTTTTGTCACCATTCTAAATTTTTAAAAACTTGTAATACGAAGTTAACGGCCCCTCAATAGAACTTACTACAGGCCCTGCGCTTGCATAATACACATCTGCTTCAGAATACCATAAAATGAAAAAATAAACATTAAATTAGCCTCCAAACTGAAAAACACTGCAATAATACAAATGACGGTAACACAAATAAATATTAGAAATGAAGTAGCATTGATAAATCTAGGAAAAATTCCCTGAAATTGATCTAAAGTTGGGTTAGGTTAGGTTGTATATGTCTAAATTTGTTTTTTTGTTTGTTCATCAAGTTTCAATTATCATTTTAAATTCTATTCTGATAATTATATTTTGTGAAATCCTGTACATAAAGTTCCCCACCCGTGGTCAAGAGCAGTTTTAACGTCTATAACAGATTGACCGAACAAGATGAAAAGAAACAAAGAAAACAGACTTGTTTGAGATTCTCTGTAACGACATCATCTATTATTTTCAATACAGCCCACTTGAAGTCCAAATAATATTGCTGGTTAGACTGTTGCAACTCCTACAACTGGCCTACAATATGCATTGTTCGACTCATTATTTGATGATAATCTAAAACACGCTTTGTTTTATTCGAATATGAATGGTCATTTGACGTGGATTCATTTATTTAAAATACAAATCTCATATGGAAACCTAAAAGAATGATTCATCACTACTCAATTATTCTACAGATAACAAAATCCAGGCTGGTAGGCCCAGATCGAATGAAATTTGTATCGTCTGCTACTGTGGCAGACATCATCAGTAGTATGTGCGTTGACTGGGAGGCTAAGGATTATATACTGACTTGGGTAATTGCATGGTCCTTCAAAATGACGTTCATAGTAGTACACATCATATTTCACCTTTGCCACAGTTCAATTAATTGAAAGTCTGTTTTTATTGCATTTATCTTCAACAATTTTGTCTGCCCATTTCATGGAACCACCAAAAACTTGGTTGGAAGTATTCATTTTATTGAAAGAACCTGTAATTGAATCATTAAAGCAAAAGTAAACTAATGAATCGTCGGTCGGTAGCCAAGCGGTTCGGCGTGGGTGCTTTGTTCACTCACTCGAATTGACTGCCGTGTTGGTCGGTGGTTCAAGCCCTAGTCTGAACGATCGATCTTCACTTGCTACCGTCCAACCCGTGTTAGGAAGCACACGTTAAAAGGTAAGATCTCGTTAATCCTTAGCTCGCACAAGTTTCGACTTCTGAGGGTTGTCGTTCGTAGGGGTGCGACAGCTGGTTAACGGAAAAACAGATTTTTTTTAGACAGATTAAACTCCAAACACATGTTAACTCAATATAAGGTGCATTTTGATACCACAGTTGTGTTTTGTTTAATGTTTTTCGATTGAACAGAGATGACTTTTCTCAAATATTATATTGATTTTTGGTGTAGAATTGTGAACAATTTGAACACAGTGTGAACTATAAAATATGAATAAGTGACGTCATAGCTCTATAAGTTTTTCAAGTTCAAGATTCTGCTCCGAACACTGTCTACATTTACTTACTTGTTTGCCATCTAAATTTGATGGCAAAGAAATCTCTTAGTACACTTTTTAAATTTTATAGTTCCAAATTGAAAATTCTTGATTCACGCAATGAAATACACAGAAGAAGTACTTACAGCTATCCACCTGTTCGTTATAACTTGATCAATAGCGAATCTTTTGGTTGGATCGATGTTGAGCATGCCATTGATAAGATCTTTGGCTTCTTGACTAACATTTTGCCACTCAGGATTAGGAAATGTGTACTGGCCCATTCTGATACGGTTTTTCATTCCAGGAGATATTGCGAGTCCTTGGTTACTGTAAAATGGCGGGAACCCACACAACCTACAAAAAATATGAGTAAAATATGTAAATAGACAGTCAATTAGAGTCTCCTAATAGTTATTTAATACTTTTAAAATTATTTTAAATTTTCCCAAAAAGTAAAAAAATCTGTAACAAACTATTTTATTGTTTATCAAAATATTTGCCTTAAAAAATTATACACCTTTGCATGTGTTCAAACCAATTTTAGAAAGTTTTCCCACGGTGATATCTCAAAAATAAGGTTTGGAAAGAATTCAACAGTTTCTTGAGGCGATGGAAATTGCTGTCTGCTATAGTGGAACACAAAGAGGCGGTAAATCAAGAGAATATGGGCAAGGGCCATCAATTTGAAATTTTTTCTTCTCCATCAAATAATTAATAGTTCAATGTGCTGTGTGAGAGCTAGAGTTGTCATGTTGAAGAATGATGTGATAGGTTATTTCTCCTTATTTTGTCGAAGACGTTTGGATGCTTCTATCCGGTATATCACATGACAATATTCTTCGATCATCTTGCTCAAGGCATCAATGTTTTTTGGAATCAACTGATTTTGGTCACCCTTTATTCATGACATGAGGATATTGATCAAGTTATAACCAACATGTGATAAATGTAATAACTTCTACTGTAATTTTCATTGTGTGAATCAAGAACTTGGAACTATAAAATATAGAAGTGTACTAAAAGATTTTCCGAAATAAAATTTAGAAACAAAGAACGCTTTTAGAAAATCATTGTTAATGACGAAAATGATAATGTATAACAAACGTAAATTCGACGAATATGATTTTCAGCCTAGAATTGAGCTTAAATTAGGATATTCGGTACAATACATTGAAAGCTCATAACATAACTCTGGATGATGTATGGTAAGATTGAACTGATTCTGACTCATAGGCTCTATGAATCTTTCACAGTTTCTAAAGCTATAATTTGCTGAAATAATTCATGAGATATCCTGTAAATGATTAACTCACGAGGATTTCAGGACAAATATTATTTTACATTCAAGAAACTTTCATATTGCTAAATGTAGATAACTAAGATTAATTAAAAATATTGTAAATAAGGGACGGTATGTGCTTCTTTAACGTGAGTGGTTCATTTTACTCATTCAACTAGCTGATAGATGAATGTTTATTCATCATTACTGCCGTATGGTCGTTATTCACTGCATACCGTCCAACCCATACTAGAAATCTTAAGATGGCAAGACCTCGTTAATGCTTAGCTCGCTAGAGTTTTGATTTCTAAGAATTGTCGTTTGTAAATGGGCTGATTTACGGAAAGACACATTTTATTAAACATTTAGAGATATCAATACTGAATTTTGATATTTATAATTGTAAAACTTTTCATTAAAGAACTATTTAGTGAAAATCTCACAAAGTGTTTTTTTTAATAAGTTATGGATTTTCATCAAATATCAGCGGAAGTTTGAAAGTCCTTATTGTATTGAAAAAAGTTCATTTGAAATAGCTCTCTTGAGCATATTTCTCAAGCTATTCCATTTCCAGTATGGCACTTAACATTCCATACTTTATAAGAGTAAAGTGGTCTCTGTTCTAGTAAAATGCATATTTTTATGTATTACATTGTGATGAGATATGGAATAACTATGAACCCATAAACAGTAGGTTGAGTCAATTCAAAAAAATAAACATGATAACTTTACGTAAGATAGTTTTTTCTCTTGATAAAGTAAATAAAAGTGAAATTATAAATTATGAAATAAAACATGTAAATTCCTTAAAAGTAGGTATAAAAAGTTATTATTAGAATATATCAAATTGTAATACATGACGCCCTGTAAAATTATATATGTACATAAATTATTCATATATGCATAACTATATATTGTATATTAGGATTCCTAAAATAAAGTCTATTACTACTACTACATATATTTATATGCAATGTATAATTTGTGAAGGCTCCAAAACTTTACGATCATTCTCAAGTGACCCATTCTGTTCAAATGCATAACTTACCGAAGGCAATATCTTTATGTATTACATATATTTATGGTACAATGCATACTTTGGGAAGGCTCCAAAACTTGAAAAACATTCTCAAGAATTTTGAAGATAACGTCCTCAAATCTTAAACCAATACCTTTCTTATTTTTTATATCAAAAGTTGTTGAAAACAACCATGGAAAAAAGAATATCATTCCTTAAGAAATTAAATATATAAGGTACTTGTCAGTTTGGATTTCAGTGGTCAAAAAGTAACCGGATCATCATCTCATCATTTTTAAAACTGCACTTAAATTTTTTCCATAGAGTCAAAACTGCGGCTAGGATATTCTGCGAATAACTTGAGTATTAGTTTATCAAAAATCATGAAACATTGCTCGAAGTTAATATATTTAGAAATTCAATGTTGCCGTGGTTTGAATCATAGATTTCTAAACGTCGGTAGATTATCTTATTGAACAGAATGAAACCCAAAGAAAATGTAGTGTGATGTTCCCCAATGTTCACTTCAGGCCAATTTTTTCCAATTGTACATCAAATTTACATTGATGGTAAATTATCCACATTTCAGAAGATACATCCATTCTCTGGCATAACAAGAACCTTCTAATATTTTGCGACTGCATTAGTACAGATTTGATGGCCACCTTTTGAATTTATAAAAAATGAAATAAAAACAAAATACTCTAGTGAGAAAACTGTTTTATTAAAAAAAAATCACAATTGAAATTTATACAGTCTTGCTTGTGTTCAAATACATTCTTAAATAGTTTTTTCACTATGAGGTTAATATTACAAAAAAAAATGGTTTTGAAGAGCTTCAATAGCATTTTTTGTTTGCCAACAGGAAACAAAAAAAAGTCAAATGTGTGGGAGCTGCCGTTGTCAGGATTAATAATGACGTCAAGATTTTGGTTGATCTTCTTATTTCAAAGACTTTTGGCAAACTGGTGTATACCATTCAGTGTAAATTGAACTTCAATTATCTGAAGGAATGATGATAATATGCCCAGTTAAGTGAAAAAAAGCTATAATTTTCTTGGAAGTGCTCTGTGACAAACAACTTTTGTGGGATTCGGTTTATCTTGAAATACTCATAAGTGGATGTTGCTCAATTTCCTGTTCATATGAAAATATCCAAGTTTTGTTTTTTTTTTGGCGCATCCAACGAATTGTTTGAAATCCATTTGGAATCAATCTTTTTATATCTAAATGTTCATGCAATATCAAATATATTGCAGTCTGTGATATGCCAAGAAACGCTTCTAAGTCACAATATATTACTTGCATCTTCAATTATCCTGCTCACGGCAATAATGTTTTCTGGATTCTCAACAGATTTTGGTTATTCTTAACGAAATTCATCACTAACGGGCGCACGACTGCGATGAAATTCTGCAAACCAATAATTAAGAATTTTCTGATAGTACTTCATTATCGAAAGTTAAACGAAGCAGTTCTATGTTTATCCAATGAAAACCTTAAGAAACGATTTCCATTTCTTCGCACACTTGCTTTTTCAAACACTCACTTCCATCTAACTAAGCTTTCTAAGCTGCCGCCAGGTTTATGAATATTATCATGCGACATTTTAGTAGCGCCATGTAACAGTCATTTGAAAAAAAAAACATAGAAGCAACCCTCATAAGAAATGTTAAAAGTGGTGATGTAAATCTTCTACCTTTCAATATAACCTCTAGTATTAAAAAATCGATTCAGGTTAGATGTTAAACTAATAAATTGATGGATGTAGCCGTTACTACGTGATAGGAGATCATGAAAAATGAAACTTTCTATGTTTTTTTACCACTTTTCACTACCACACTAAAAGTAGTAAAAAAACATAGAAAGTTCATTTCTCATTTTTCATGAAATTAAACTGTTGATTTTTTGCAGTGAATAACATTAGTTATAGAAATAATAAGAATTACTAATTTTTTCACGGCCAAGAACAAATGATCTAGAATTGAGGTAGAATAATCATTACATTTCTTAGAAAGTATTCCATACATTTTACATAATGATGGAGAAATAAAATAAAATCAAATGATTGTTTCAATATTTTTGGATAAAAAAATCAATAAGGGAAACTGCAAAGTATGTGATTTGGCTCAGCTGCTAACGAATATAGATTAGAAGACAATAGTTTTGCAGTTCACATGTCCACCTGAAAATGATTGAGTGTTACTCTAAGGGGTTGTATAATGTTTGAGTTTGCATCAACTGCTTTGGGGTGTATCATAATAGCTGTGGAAAAAAACTTCCAACTGTTAGTATTGTCGATGGACACAAAAATTCAAACTTTGAAAATGATGCAGTTACTATGTTGCCATATGAACAACCTGCCTGAGTTTTGACTCAGGAACGTTGATATAAGCAGTTAGATTTTCTGAAACAGATTTTCTCCAGCAGCAAAGAGGGAATTTTCTGTAACTGATTCACAGGTGCATCAAGCAAAAACCTTTATAACAATGTTTCAACAAAAAAAAAAATAACACCAGTTGATAACTTCACAACGAAGTGTCTCCTGAAAATTTCATTGTTTACAAGAAATGGAACAGCAACTTGAGTTCAGTGACTATCTTTGCTGAGACTTCGAGATATCGTCCTAGCAGTCAATGCACATACCACTGATTATGTCTGCTCCAGTAGTAGACAAAACGTTTGGTACTTCAGGTTCTATTCGACCACGACCTAACAGACCGGATTTTGTTCTCTTCAATTGTGACTCCGGCCATGAAAGCCTATGTTCTTACCATATATATATATATAGTCTCCCACTCATGAACAAAGTGCTCTAAATCTAGCCTTTACATAGCTTAGTCAATCCAAAAGGATTAAATTTGGGTTCACCCTCATTTAGTCTTTTTATAGACAGTCTTGTGAAAAATATTACATCATCTTGTCATTTATTATTTGCAGATTACTTCAAGATTTATTGAAACTTTATTCTTTAACAAAAAGCCGGTTTACTGCATTTCTGGTGATTGGGAAAGGTGCTTGATTTGGTCTGAATATGGAATCGTTGAAAACGAAAAA